TATTAATAGATAAGTCACATGCTAAAACAAGAAAGCTTGAACTTAGAATCCTGATTTTAAATACTCTGGTGGCGTAGTGCCTAAGGCATTCGACTGCTAACCAGAAGGTTGCTTGTTCAAACTCACCAGCCACTCCCTGGAAGGAAGGTTGGGCAATCTACTTCCATAGTGATATTGCCTCGGAAACCCTAGGAGGGGGTCACTGTGAGTCGGATCTGACTTAATGGCAGTGAGTTTGGTTTCTTGGGTTTATGAGAGAGAAAATAATTAATTTTGGGGATTCTTGCCCTGTAGGAAAGGTTAACCATAATATTTAAGCACTGACCAGCTTTTGAAGAACTGTGGCTTAATACTTTTTAAGAACTTGGCTTGGCTTGTCTTTTAGAGAGTTCCTAGTAAGCCATTTAAGGAGCTCTGGTAGCATAGTGCCTAAGACACTTGACTGCTAACCAGAAGGCTGGTGGTTCAAACCCATGAGCCACTCCTCGGAAGGCAAGTTGGGCAATCTACTTCTGTAGTGATACTGCCTCGGAAACCCAAGGAGGGGTTGCTATCAGTTGAGTCCACCTCAACGACACATAATAACAACAAGTAAGCCATTTTACAACAGAAGGATAAGTAAATGAAGACTCTGTATTATAGACAAGGAGAGCTTTCCTAAACATGATGAATAACATAAAGTATTTTAACCTTGTTCTTTTTTGAACAAAGGCACCTTTAAGAGTGTCTCCATTAAGTGCTATATTAACACCAAAGTTTAGTTAATTACAGCCACTATTCTCACGTATCTTAACTGAGTGTGAATACCAAGCAATCTAATAGTGTGCCCCTGAGCATTAATATCTAATGAAATTGGATTCCTTGTTTCCTCTAATGAGCTCATTGCTTTTCTAAATATGGTCATTGCAGGTAAATGATCAATAGCCTTGAAAAAGACATGAGTACCAGATTATTTTGGCAGGATAGAAGTATTCTTTTTGTGTAAAACAAGAATATTCATATGTGCACCTCAGAATATTTTCTAAATAACCTCCTATATAACATGACTGTAATAGGTTTATTTGTCTTTGTGGATGACTTTTACAGCAGGAAATTGTGGACTGTCACTGTTTATAGAGCAGTGGCCTTATTCCACATCACCTAGCTCAAATTGGAACAAACTGGATCTAGTGTGTTTCTGTAAGTGAGAGACTGAAAGGCAATGGGCTATGAGAAGGCTTGTTTTCTGTTATTGTGTAAGAGTTTGGTACAAACCATCTCTACTGCATTAGGTTCCTAGGGCTGCCATAGCAAATTACCACCAACTAGATGGCTTAATACAATTGAAATTTATTCTCTCACAGAGCTAGAAGCCAGAAGTCTGAAATCAAAGAATTGACAGGGTTACTCTCCCTCTGAAAGCTCTAGAGGATAATCCATTCTTTGCCTCCTTTAGCTTTCAGGGCTTGTCAGCGTTCCTTCACTTGTGATCACATCACTCCAGTCTCTGCCTCTGTGGTCTCATGGCTTCCACCTCTTGTGTTTGTCTCTCCTCTGTGTCTTTTATAAAAAACTAAAAAAAAATACAAAATCATTGCCATCAAGTTGTATCCTACCCATAGTGACCCTTCCATTGGGTTTCTGAGGTGGTATCACTATGGAAGTAGATTGCCCAGGAGTGGTTTGTGGGTTTGAACTGCCAGGCTTCTGGTTAGCAGTCAAATGCCTTAGGCACTATGCCACCAGAACTCCTGTCTCTTATAAAGACACTTGTAATTTTATTTGGTGCCTATCTCAATAAATCAAGATGGTCTCTGCATCTTGAGATCTTTAACATTTCTGTGACCCATGGGACATATACTCACTGCCATCAAGTCAATCCTGACTATATTATAGAGACCCCTCCTTGGGTTTCTGGGGCCATATCTCTAAGGAAGTAGATTCCCCAATCTTCCTTCTGAGGAGTGGCTGGTGTGTTTGAACTTCCAGCCTTCTGTTTAGCAGTCAAATGCCTTTGGCACTATGGCAGCAGAGCTCCCCACTATGCCACCAGAGTGCCCACTTACCTTTCCCTTCTCTGGGGTTTAGTGGGAAGTTGTTATCCCACTTTTAGTGTGTGCTGCCATCTGGTGTGGGCCTGTATAACTGCATAAATCTGAAGAAATGAGCCTCATTCCACCAACCTCATCACCAGAGACCCCTCAAGACATATGTTTTCTGTTAGTTTTATCATATTACCTCAAGGAATTTTTTCATTTGAATTTCATTCAAAATACCTTCCATTACTAAAAACAGATGGTTTCAACAAAAAATTCAAAGCAGAAAAAATTAACTTCATTACATCTACAAAGAACCTTTTACCAATTAAAGTAACATTCACAGGTTCCAGGGATATAATTTTTGTAAGACCCTGTTCAGCCAACTTTTCTGCTTTAGTTATGATCATCAAATCTACACACAACCACAACTCTGGCTATTGGGATGTTTTAGTACTTCAATAATATTATCATTTATGGGAAAATCATTTATACAGTGTGTGCATGTTTGTAATTTTTAATTCTTAAAACTACCCTATCATTATCCCTTTATACAGATAAGGAATTTGGGACTCAAGAAAGGTAACATCTTTGCCAATGTTACAACACAGCTAATATGTGTCAATTTACATATTTGTGTCAATTTATGTTTAAACTCTTTTCTGTATTTTTTCCACAATAGCTTAAGTTTCATGTATATATAAATTTAGATATTCACATCCCTCTATAGAAATTAATGTGCTAAATTACACAAAACACATTTTCTTCATTAGATTTTTGGTCTCTGTGGTTCTCTGGATCAGATCATTCCCAGAATATCACTTTCAGATTTAACCTTAGGAAGAAAAAGCCAAAGTGAGATCTTGGAGAATAATGGCTTTCAAGATAAGGCTTTCTTTACCTACAGTTATCTTCTCATGTCCAATTCCAGAGCACTTTAACTGAAATGGATTTGGAATTTTGTAAGTGAATTTTAAGGATTCTATGAGGCTTCATAGCTGTCACACTGTTGTATCTGAATCCTATTTGCACCATTTATTAACTACTTTCTTAGATATATCATTTAACTCTCTTGTATTTCCTTAGCTGTAAATTGAAGGATAATAATAGTGATATCTATCTTATAGGGTCTTCATAAGAAATATGAGAAAATAATATGCTGAAATGGTAACTGAATAATAAATAGTATATATTCAATTTAGTATTATTCATCATCACATCTTATAAGTATTTTACACATCACGCAATAGTAGAGATGCCACATTCAAAAGTGTGATGAAGTTATAGGGATTAGAGCATTATTTGACACACAATTAAGCTCCAAAGCACAACATGGGGCAGAGATTTCATGTTACAGGTATTCCATGGTATTTTTTTTTTCCAAAGCAAAGTGTTTTTATGTATCTTCTTTTCTTCTCCACTCCAGTTATAAACCCATGGTAATGATTAAATACTTCACTGCTAACTAAAAGGTTGACAGTTTAAACACACCAGCCACTCCATAGGAGAAAAGACTTAGCTATTTGCTTCCATAAAGACTATGGACTAGAAAACCCTATGGGGCAGTTCTACTCTGTCCTACAGAGTTGCTATGAATCAGAATTGACTCAGTGACACACAAAAACAGCTTTCATATTAGGTCGCTGTGTGACAGAAACAGTTTGTGCTCAATTAGTAACACAAAGGTTGTTGGTTCAAACGCATTCAGTGGCACTATGAAAGAAAGGCCTGACATTTTGCTTCTGTAAAGATTACAGACAGAAAAAAACCTATGAAGTTCTACTTGTAACACATGGAGCCACCAGAGTCAGAATTGACTCAATAACAATGCGTTTGGGCCTTCGTATTCCAACTTTGCTCTGTTATTTATTATTTCTTTGAGGAAAATAAATTACTTTCCAAGATAATTCTTGATTAAATCTTACTGAACTATTCTCAAATTTCCAAGATAATGTAGATTCATAATTGAATCTGAAAAAATGTATTTGTTTTGTTCCATATGCATGAGTGCTATCAAGAATACTTGCAACTATTTTCTATTGGCATGTTTACAGTTCTGATAAATCCACTATGGAGTACAGTTTGTAGACAAAGTATGGGTAGGCTCAGGGCACTGGGACCTTTTCATTCTAAATGGTCACCTAAAGTCATCCGCACAGCATTTCCAAGTTAAAGTGGTTTACTGCTGTCAGATTGTATGAAATTAATGCTCAGGTTGTGTACATAAATGTTGTAACTCGTTGTTGTCATTGTTATGTACCGTTGAGTTGGACCCAGCTCATAGTGACCCCCTCTTTGAGTTTCCAAGGCAGTATCACTACGGAAGTAGATTGCCCCATCTTCCTTCCAAGGAGTGGCTGGTGGGTTTGAACTGCCAGCCTTCTGGTTAGCAGTCAAGTGCCTTAGGCACTAATGTTATCATTTAAGAATTTATAATCTCTCGGTAAGGTGGGAGGAAGTCTTAGGGCCTTAATACTTCATTTATGAGTGACTTTATGTATAGCTTTCCTGAGCTTTTATTTTAAATTTATAAATATAAAATAACATTCTTCTTCATGGAACTCAGTGTTCATGATGAAGAAAAAATTAAATGTAAGTTTCTGATAGACTCAAGATGTATTACTATATTAATGTTGTTGACAAGGAAAAGTCAGCACAGAGAAGGGAAATGAATTATCTCCACGCTAAACTCAATGATGGAACCAGCCATTGGCATTTGAATATATTTAGTGTTGATGTTATTCATCTTAGCCATGACTAATGTCTAATCAGAAAGTGAATTCATTTACTGGTGGGGAAAGCTTTTAATTGTTCATGCTTAAGGGGAAATACTATAAATGCATTGTTTGTAGTAAATGAAATTCTGATCACGCTTATAATCACTGGACTTTGCTGTCAAACTCACAACCAAGTTCTCCCTTTGATCAAGAGGAAATGAAGTGTGTCTGCATGAATTGTTTCACACGATGTCTTCTCTATATCCAGGTGAGCACAAAATGCCGTGGCCTCTGGTGGGAGTGTGTCACAAATGCTTTTGATGGGATTCGCACCTGTGATGAGTACGATTCTATACTTGCTGAACACCCCTGTATGTATGCCTTAGGCTTCTGTTACCAGGGACAAGGGTTTGGTGAAACTTGCTTGTCAGGAAGTGTGGACCACAGAAAATTGAGCTCAATTTCCTTGTTTTTGTTTTCTACAGAACTGTAAAATGGCTCTGTCCAGTTTTAAATGTTTCAATTGGAAATTAAATTCGTTTCTGTAATGTGAATTGAAACTTTCTTTTAAAAGCATATTTTATCTTTGCCCACATATTTTTAAATTCCTTAAGGGAATAAATGCTATCTTACTCATCTCTGCTATCCTCCAAAGGTCCTGGCACAGTGCTATATACACAGTAGGCTTATAGTAAACACTTCTTGAATTGAAAGGAATTCTTTAGGGTGCTGAGATTTTATGATTAAAACTGACATGTTAGATGAAAAGCATTTTAGAAATGTCTTTCAGTCATTTGCAGATGTCTTTCATGACTTAGTTCAAGCAGAAGGTTTACAGTCATTTCAATTGAGGGTTTTCTAGGAGAGAGAAAAGTAGAGAAAGCAATACAAAGACAGAAAGAGACAGCAAAACAGATGGGCAGACAGATAGCCAAAGACAGATACCAGACTATGGGGACTAATGAATGGGGGGTGGGGCTGGGAATCAGGATATGTGACAGTATTAGCAGGAATATTAAAGTCCTTTTCTTTATCTTTATTACATTTAGTTTTAAATTATAATTAGCTGTTACTAAGGTCCATGTTTTTATTAATAAAGAGATCTCTTAGATTAAAAAATCTTATGTTGAGTCTTTTCATCTTTCCCCATATATATATAGAGAGATATATAGAGATATAGATATATATGTGTGTGTGTGTGTGTGTGTATTTTAAGAGACATGCCAAGAAATACCAGGGCTAATGTTAAAGCAAAGAGGTTTTCGTTTCTTTCAAAGAAAATGATGGATGATGGCACCAGATGGCAACTTTTTTTCTCAAGATAAATGAAAAGTAAACCCTTGGAATGTGACTTTTTCCCTTTTCAATCAGGCTACTTCAGTCCAAGACAAAAGCACTTAAAAGGAGGAGTAGTTTAAAATATCTCTATCTGACATTAAGGTGTTAGGTGCCTGAAACATTTTTTAACATAATTCATAAGGTCTTTATTTCATTTTTTTTTAATTTTTAAAAGCCCTTCTAAATCTTTCCCTTTTCCCTCCCCATGCTCCCCTAGCTCTGCCCATGAAGATATATGGTTATTTGGTCAGTAGGAATGGAAAGTCATGTGTGCATGGGGCCCGTTTGAGAAATGCAGAAGCATGGTTAGACTTGAGAAGAAAAGAGAAAGATGAGATGTTTCAAACTTTTGAATAATGTTATGTGTATTTGTTTAAGAAGAAAATAAAATCACTCATAAGCCCACTAAACATAGAAAACCACTGTTTGTATTTTAATAAGTTCCATTTAATCTATGTTTATACTATCTCATATTTTTTCTTTTGATATATTCCTATTAAGTTCAAATAATATACTAAGATCTATTACTTTACTTCTCTTTTACAAATTGTATTATATGCTAAAGACAACAGAGATGAAAGTGTATTCTAGGAAAATAATATATTTGTACACTGTAAGTTAGGATGATATCTATAGGAGAGTTAGATTTTATTTCTGATCTTTGCTATCTTTCATATAATCACATATAGATGACCATTCCTTTCTATTGCCATGTATACCTAGGATGTGAGATTCCAGACAAATTTTTTTTTTGCAGGGCTGTATCTGGTGATATAGACTATTTGAGTTCCCCAAATCAGCATGTTAACACCATTATATTAGCTAAATCTCACACAATCCCAAAAAAAGAAATCCCTTGCTGGCCAGTATAAAAAAAAATCTGCTTTCCACCTACCCCCCTTGAACTGGACTGGCCGTGGGCTTCATAGGCATGAGGCTGAGCCTCTGCAGAGGCTCTGGTAATCTGTGTATGGCATAGAAGCTCTTCAAAGGGAAGGGAGAGATCAGGGCCCATGGGGATCCAGTTGAGTTCAGTGTACCTTGTTCTAATTATACTGCTGGCTCTGGCTCATCTGGGATTACAAAAGGGGACTAACTTCCTAGGAGACACCACAAAATGAAGACACCCCTAAGACCTGGGTAGGAGGCCAGTGTGCCCAGGCCTAAGGATGTTGTTGTTGTTATTTGCCGTCGAGTCGGCCCCGACTCATAGCGACCCCTCCTTGGGTTTCTGAGGCAGTATCACAACGGAAGTAGGATTGCCCAACCTTCCTTCCGAGGAGTGGCTGGTGGGTTTGAACCGCCAGCCTTCTGGTTAGCAGTCAAGTGCCTTAGGCACTATGCTACCAGAGCTCCTAGGCCTAAGGATAGTACTATACATATCACTTGAGGGATCAAAAGGATCTGCTGAAACATAAAAACCCATATGCCCTTACGAGTCAAGTTTTCTCTCCTTCAATATTGAGAAGAATCAGCCTTATTTTGAAATATTTAAGTTTTCTAAAAATAATGCCAAGTTTGGAGATCTGATAAATTCCCTTTTAGAATAATTATACAGTCATATATAAGTATGTTAATAACTCAATTTGTATTATATTCATCCATTAGTAATGTAAAAACTGATTTTATGTATTAACTTCTACTCTCTTAAATGCAGCATAAAATATTTTTATCAGAAGTAGGGAAAATTGGGCACAGTTTTGTAAACAAGCTATTACTGAACAGTCCTAAGGTCACCTGTTTAGGGAAAAAAAAAAGTTACTTAAAATTCAAGTAAGTCCCCAGTCACTAAGACAATAAAACATAATTCATTATTGTACCATCAAAGCATAAATTTTATTACTTTTCTAACATGCAGCTACTGCAGCAGTAATTCCGACTTGAGTTAATTAACCCTCTGTTCTAGGTATAATGTCTCCATTTTTAACTTAGTCTAAATGTGACACACAAATCAGCACTTTTACAGCTGGAAAGTGTAGTTTCCATTGCAGAAGACAACTGATATTCTGCTTCTGTTTACCTGCCCTCACCACATATTCTTTTTGGCTATAGCTTTAAAATATTTTCAGCTGCCAAAGCAAGGTTGAAGAGTTAATTTTCTGTCTTGGCCAAGAGGGGTTCTGATTTGAAGGGGTGAAAGAGAACACGATCTGGCTTCCAGAAAGAGTCCCCAACTCAATAGTGGAGACTTCTTCTCTTCCTTCAAAGATACGTGAATGGCCATCAACAGATTGAATTGCAAGAGGTCTTAGCATAAATTCTTTTGCTCCTCAGTGCAACATTTTTGTGATTTTTTAAAATTGCTCTTCAATAAAACTTCCAATAACTGTGTTGTTGTTGTTATGTACTGTCCAGTCAGACTCGACTCACAGCAACCCCTCCTTGGGTTTCGAGACGGCATCACTATGGAAGATTGTCCCGTCTTCTCTCTGCAGTGATCATTATTCATTTATTCATTCAGTATTTATTGGGTAACTTCTGTGGAACAGTTACTCTCAGCTCAGCGCTCAGCTATAATACTTGTGAGCAAGATTCGTTCTAGAGCAGGAAGCAAAAAGGAAAATATTTGCTTAGTTCCTAAATGTGTCAGGCACTCTCCTAGGATGGCAACAACATTAAGTAATGATCAGACTTGGTGGCGCAGTTGAGTGCTTGGCTGCAATCTGAAAGATTGTCTTTTAGACTCCATCAGCTACTCTGTGGGTCGAAGATGTGGCAGTCAATGGCAGTCTGCTTCTGTAAAGATTACTGATTTGAAAACCGTATGGGGCACTTTTACTCTGTCCTATAGGATCACTATGAGTTAGAATCTATTCAACAGCAGCAGTTTTGTTTTGTTTTTAACAAATAGTAATGTCAAGATCCTCATAGTATTTTTTTAAGTTTTATGAAAAACTCATTTCCATGTTCCTGTGAATTTAAAGTCTGACTTTTAGAAATGGACCTGTGTTAATGTATGTGATTTTCTGTTTGTTCATATCTCTTTGTGAATTAATACGTCTTCTTCCTCTATGTCATAACCATGTACCCTGATCTTCCAGTGAAGCTGGTGGTAACACGAGCGCTAATGATTACTGCAGATATTCTAGCTACGTTTGGATTCATCACTCTGCTCCTTGGTCTTGACTGTGTGAAATTCCTCCCTGATGAGCCCTACGTCAAAGTCCGCATCTGCTTTGTCGCTGGAACCACATTACTTATAGCAGGTACTGGTCTGGACTAGTGATGGATGTAGAGCTAGATACTCATTGAGGGACTTGAGGTGAAGGAGAAAGATGCTGTTCAGGAATAGAAGTTCACTGTAGCATCATGTAAGCATGGTGATATAGAGTGAAGAAGCAGAGAGTATATTTTACCAATCTTACTTTCTTCAGTTCTGCAATCAAATAATAACTATTTTGTTAATATCACAGAACAAAGTTTACTGATATATTGAAACTATTTTTTAATTATTGAAAGTTTGATTTCATGCTTTACATTTTAAAATAAATTTTATCGGTATTCATGAATTTAAATTCTAAAATAAGCCCCCAAATGTACCTGTTTACTCATACTCTTCCAGCCATACTTTTTAGCAACAAACTACATTGTGTCAAGTCCTATGTTACACTTTTGCCATTTGTCAACCCACTTAATAATCATAAAGGTAGCAGCAAACTGATTGTTGTTCCCACTTAAGAGGCAGATGAATAAGTGGAGTTCTGAAGACTAATAAATCAAGGATGACTAATAAACAGTAAGTCAAGAAGCACTCTGCATGTATTTATTAGTTAAACATAAAGCTAATATTTTAGCCAGTCTGTCTTTCCCTTCAAAGCTTAGCCTTCTTCCATCACAACATGATGTCCCTTTTGAATCTTAATGTAAATTGAAAGGAAGTATGTTGTTGAAGAAATCAAAGTGTGGGAAGGTTGTAAACCAAGGGACACATCCTTCAGAGAGGAAATGATATGGTAGCAGCAAAGAGTAAGCAAAACAAATTCATGTGGAAACATGACCAGTCAGTGTGGGGTAGTAAATGGGTAGGGACTTTGGAACTAAAATACAGGGAGACACATGTGTGTGGCATTACTTAGGCAAGTTATTTAGCCTATATTTATGTATCCTGATCTTTAAAACATGGTGAAGCAGGAGCAGTCATATTTACCCAGAATTTCCACTGTGATGATTCTATGTGGACAGAGCAAGCTTACAACAGAGAATTTAACCCACTACAAACTAAAAACTTTCCTGAGTTTGTGACACAGAAATGTTTACTCAAGGCCCTGATTAGCCTACTTGTTGTTGTGTGCTGTAGAATCTATTCTCACTCATAGTGACCCTGTAGGACAGATTAACATTGCCTCCTAGGGTATCATAGGCTGTTGTCTTTAGGGGAGATTGCTAGCTCTTTTTTCTTGCAGAATGTTTAGTGAGCTTAAACTACCAGGCTTTGGGATAGCAGCCAAACCTTTAAGGATTGCACTACCAGAGCTCCTTTGAGAAGCCCTAAACAAACAAACAAACAAAAAACCCCATTGTCATCCAGTCTATTCTGACCCCTAGCAACTATATGTTGTTGTTATTGTTGTTATTGTGTGCCGTTGAGTCAGCCCCAACTCATAGTAACCCCTCCTTGGGTTTCCGAGGCAGTATCACTGTTGTTGTTGTTGTTATGTGCCGTCGAGTCAAACCCGACTCATAGCAACCCCTCCTTGGGTTTCCGAGGCAGTATCACTATGGAAGTAGGATTGCCCAACCTTCCTTCCGAGGAGTGGCTGGTGGGTTTGAACCGCCAGCCTTCTGGTTAGCAGTCACGTGCTTTAGGCACTATGCTACCAGAGCTCTATATAGGACAGACTAAAACTACCCCATAGGGTTTCCAAGGCTGTAAATCTTTGCAGAAGAAGATTACCTCATTTTTCTCCTATGGAGCACCTGGTAGGTTCAAACTGCCAATCTTTTGGATAGCAGCTGAATGTCTTAGCTGCTGTACCACAAGAGCTCCTCTTGATAAGCTTTAGGGTTTACTAAAAAGTCACAGAAATTTAGTAATCCTTCCTTTTTAAGACTTCTATCCATATATACCTACCATCCATCTGTCAGTTTGTCATACCTTGGTGGCTCGTGTGTTGCTGTGATATTAGAAACTGCATCACACATATTTCAAATATCAGCAGGGTAAACCATGGTGGACAGGTTTCAGTGGAGCTTCAAGAGTAAAACAGAGAAGAAATAAAGACCTGGCAATCTACTTCTGAAATTTAGCCAATGAAAACCCTATGGATCACAACAGAAATTGTCTGTTACACTGCTGGAAGATGAGGCTCCAGGTTGGAAGACAACAATGGATTCAAAAGTGCCAACTCTCATGAGGATGGCGCAGACCAGGCACATTTTATTCTGGTGCACATCATATCACCATGAATGGGAGCTGAGTGGGTGGCAACTAACAACAACAACAACAAAAAAAAAAATCCCCATACATAGCTTAATGATAGTACAAAGGCTTTGTATACAACATTGTACTTTATTTATTAAACCATAAAGCTTTTCATAAAATTTTATTGCAGAATACTTTTTGGGAAATCATAACATATTCCAGTTTTTAATGCAACAATAAAATAAATAAAATTTTAAGAAAATGAAAATAACTGAAAACAATCCCCACAAGAAATACTTAAGAAATAACTTAATTAAATATCCAGGGATGGCTAAAGCCATAGGAACATCACTCAGAATTAGTGTTCTACGTAAAATATGTTTCATAATCTCTTTCTAAATTACAAAAAGAAGCCTAAGCCCTAAAGCTGGAAGTGAAAGAATTACAGAAAAAGTGTGACAATTTATACTCTGTTTTCCAAAGGTTGTATGTTCATGATCTGATCCTTCTCGAAATTTTTGCATTAAACATTTAGGATAAGAATGTACAAAACTGGTGCTTTGCTTAGTCATCACTAGTTCTTCAGGAAAAATAAAAAGTATAAAAGTGATTTGGAGGGTACAAATTTCTGAAACACTTTTTTTTCACACAGCTTTTTGTCCCCACCCCCAATTCACAGCTTTATTTCTTACATCCAAGCCCTGATGTGAGTTATACCTTTAAAGTGACAGAACACTAAAGTTATCATTTTAAGACAGATAAGTGATTCTATTGATATTAAATTTCATTGTAAATGAGTGACATTTCTTAGTCCATTCTTTTATGGTGTGGTGGTGGTGGAGGGAGACAAGGATTTATTTAAAAATAAAGATAATTTTTAATTCAGTTATTTGTTTTTTACTTCAACACATTAAAGTAGATGACATTGAAAGCATGGCTTCCACAAAGGTGCTGATTATGCAGTTGGCAAAACTTCAATCATGGGTCTGGGGGTTTTGCGGCAAGGGAGCAATTGACTACTCTTAATAAATATCTACCTAGGAGCTCTGGTAGCATAGTGCCTAAGGCACTTGACTGCTCACCAGAAGGCTGGTGGTTCAAACCCACCAGCCACACCTCGGAAGGAAGGTTGGGCAATCCTACTTCCGTAGTGATACTGCCTCGGAAACCCAAGGAGGGGTCGCTATGAGTCGGGGCCGACTCAACAGCAAACAACAACAACAACAATAAATATCTATTTTCAATTTAAAATACTCAATGTAGAATGAACATATGTGATATATTATTTATCTTGGACTGTGTATTCTTTCTTTTTCTTTGGTTTTTCATATTTTCCTTTTTAGAGAATTTAATAATTTTTAGAAAGATAAGAAAACCATAGTGACAATTTTAGGTTCAGGAAAACAGGTGCATACTGCTCTTTTCCATTTTTGTATTTCCCTACATGTATACACTGAGATATAATTTGGAAGAAACACACCCTGGAAGCCCAAAGGAAGAGAGAGGGGAGAAGTGTCCAAAATTTGAGTTTTCCATGAATTCATGGTATTATTATTACCCCTCTGAGTGACCCCATACATTTGGTTAATAGACAGATGTCGTTGGATCTAAATTTGGACAACTCAAGGTAGATTTCTTCTCTTTCAGGTGCCCCAGGAATCATTGGCTCTGTGTGGTATGCTGTTGATGTTTATGTGGAACGTTCTTCTCTGGTTTTGCACAACATATTCCTGGGCATCCAATATAAATTTGGTTGGTCCTGTTGGCTTGGAATGGCTGGGTCTCTGGGTTGTTTTTTGGCTGGAACTGTTCTCACTTGCTGCTTATACATCTTTAAAGGTAAAAACAAAACAAAATATAACACTTTGTTTCTGCTATCATACTGCTCAACTGAATGGAAACATATCTCAAAAGCAAAAAAATCATGTCAGTTCTTTAATCCTTACCCATTGCCTGAAAAATTGCAATTGTTCAAGAACAACTGAACTGCAATACTCAAGCCTCATTACACAATCAGAGGTGTATTTTTTGAAAAAGAAAACCTACAGCTAAAACTGTCCAATATTCAAATATGTAATGTTTCTTCTAGCTTGACCCAATTTACTGAATTTACATTTGTAGTTAAACAGAGAAGTGGGATGAGAATGAAGCCAAATATTTGTTAATAAAGAGTTTATGTGTTACTATTAGGTTTCTAAAAAATATCTCTTAAAAAACTAAGTAAATATGTCCAGCAAAGAAAAATAGAAAATGCTGGCTACATTTTAAATCTAAAAATAACTTTCAGAATGAAAATCCTGTGTTCTTTTCAGACGATTCCTACTGAGAATACTTACATTCTTGCCCTTTTTTGAGAGAACATATAAAATGGCTGTATTTTTCCCACCTATATACTGAGCAATACTCGTTGCCATGGAATTGATTCCAACTCATAGGGACCCTACAGGACAGGGTAGATCGATCTCATATGGTTTTCGAGGCTGTAAATCTTTACTGAAGTAGACTGCTCATCTGTTTCATTGAGTGGCTAGTAGATTTGAACTGCCAACCTGTCAGTTAGCAGCTGAGAGCTTAACCACTGCACCACCATGACTCCTTCTTACTGAGCAATACTTCTTTTTATATCTCTGCATTAATCTCTTTCAAACAGACGTCGGACCTGAGAGGAACTATCCTTACTCCATGAGAAAAGCTTATTCAGCTGCTGGTGTTTCCATGGCCAAGTCATATGTAGCCCCTCGGACAGAGACTGCCAAGATGTATGCTGTGGACACAAGGGTGTAAAGTGTCACATACCAGCCTTTGTTTATCTATTATTTAATTAAACAATCAATATGTTCAAGTAATTAAAATAGCATGTAAATCCAGGTACAACAGTTATTTAGACTTAATGTTCAATTAAGTTAGTTGCTCAATTTAATCAAAAAGTTCGATTCACCCATTACTTCGCTGTTCTATTATTCTCATATTCTCCCTCATTCTTTGTCTTTATACACACACACACATACAGACTCTCCTTCTATCTTTCTCTCTCTCTCTCTTTCATACACAGATTTTTTAAGATAAGATTGCTAGGATTTAGAAATGTTTGTGATTTGTATCTTGCTATTAGTGATTGTGATATGGTGATATTAAAATAAAATGACACTTTAATAACAGAAAGCAACTTTCAAAAGGGGCCAGAGATTTTACTCTTTGAAAAAATCGACAAGCTTTTAGCACTCTCTGTATAGTCCTGGTTACTTTTTGTATTCTCAATTGAAAGAAATATTTGATAACTTTAGCAGAAACAAGCTATTATATAAAGTGTCTACCAAGGTTCTGATTCTGTTAAAATAGAAAAGAAAATAACAGTTTCATATACTAGCCACTGGTGGGAATGAAAGACAAGAAGTTCCCCCTCCACACTCTAAATGTCAAAGGCAAATGCTAAATTAATATAGGAGTCAGTGGTGACCTACTGTGTCATAAACAACATAATGGATCCGTGTCTTAAGTTTTGCATACATATTATTAGACTACAGCAGTAATGGGAGCTCTGGAGCATAGTGCCTAAGGCACTTGACCGCTAATCAGAAGGCTGGCAGTTCTAACCCACCAGCCACGCCTCGGAAGGAAAGTTGGGCAAACTACTTCCGTAGTGATACTGCCTTGGAAACCCAAGGAGGGGTCGCTATGAGTCGGGTCCGACTCGATGGCACATAACAACAACAACAACAACAACAACAGTAATAACAGCTAAAGCAGCAGGTTCACTCATTTGGTTTAAACATCCAAATACGTTTCATGAATACCCTATACTAAAAGTCACTTCAGGTGACTACCATTCATCATTGTTAAAGAGCTCTAGTGGTGTAGTGGGTAAGGCATTTGGCTGCTAACCAGGAGGTTGCTGGTTCAAACCCACCAGCTGCTCCATGGGAGGAAGATGAGGCAATCTACTTCTGTAAAGATTTACAACCTTTGAAACCCTGTGGGGATCACTGTGAGTTGGAATCGACTCATCATTCTTAGAACCCAGGAAAACAGCTGACATAATATATAATTGAGCAAATATATATCAAAATAAAGAAATAAATATTCACAACTCTCTACAATATATATATGTATGTATTTTTATATAAAAGATGTACTTTAAAAAGAGTGGAATTCTATACACACTTAGAGAAGTCCATGATTGATTGCTAATAGTATTTCATTTGTATTCATAAAGCAAACATCTTAAATTTTTAAATGGTAAATTTTTTAGAAGATTACAAGATTTAATCTCAAGTTTTCTGATTCTTTGTAATTCACACAAATAACATTAATAGTCTTGCAGCACCTTCTAAAGAACTAGAAATTAGTTATTTGGAGAACTGTAAATAAAGCTGTGAATCTTTAAAGCCTTGAAAGAAGTGTTTCAAATATAAAAAGCCAATAGTAATGTGAAAATTGGATGATGAAATCCTAGTACTTTTATGAATATGGTTGAGGATGTTCATGAGTCTACAAAAAAAAAAAAAAAATCTATACTCTCTACTGTTATTATCAGGAACAATTCCAACCTTATATTTGAATCAAGAGCAATTGATTTATTTTGTCTCACTGAAGCTGTTAACTGTTAAATTTTTTATAGGTCATGTGTACTAGTTATGCTATTTTTAGTTGCTCTTGAGTCAATTTTGACTCATGGCGACCCCAAGTGTTACATAAGAGAACTGATCCATAGGGTTTTCTTGGCTGTAATCTTAACAGAAGCAGATTGCCAGCCTTATTTGCTGTACCTATCTGCTATCGACAGATTGGTGGGCTTGAACCACAAACCTTCGGATTAGCAGTTGAGTGCAAACTCTTTGTGCTGCATAGGGACCTTATACTAGTTACATGGGTACTATTATATGCATTTTAAAACTTATTTTGTGTTCTACTTTTGTTCTCACCCTTGGTTATTTTTAATTGTATTTGTATTATTCCCACTTTCACTTAATAATATATTGCCATGTTTTATATATTCTTGTAAGTCTCTTGAAACTTTTCTGGCAAAAGGCAGGGTGAAAACCAATTAATATAGCTCACCAGATTTTAAAGATGTAAATTATTCCATGTTAAAGACTTGATTTGTATGAGGGAATATTTCAGAGGATTATTGTGATAATTAAAACACATGCCTGTTTTGAACTTTCTCTAAATTAAAACTTTACGTGTATCCTGAATGGAATGTTAGTATTTTTTTTTAAATCTCCTTAGGAATATTTACTTATAATACATTAATTTTATAATACATTTACAATTCGTTTAATTTAATGAAGTATCCCAAAATGAAGCAAAAAAAATATCTATTTTTCATAGCAACTAGTGAACACACACACACACACATTAAATGGTGAAGGAATAATAATTGACCTGGCTCAACATGCCAAGAATAAAATACAGTTACTAAATTTAAAATACAAAGTACACCCACATAAGACTATTAGGTTGAAACATTACAATAGCTCATGAAATTTTGTGCATTATAATTTACTATGTCATGTTATATCAATAAAATATTAAAAAAAATTGATAAAATTGGACAATGTATTTACTTACCCCTGTATTAACTATTAGGAACTCTGGTAGCATAGTCCCTAAGGCAGTTGACTGCTAACCAGAAGACTGGTGGTTCAAATCCAGCAGCCACGCCTCAGAAGGAAGGTTGGGCAATCCACTTCCACAGTGATACCACTTTGGAAACCCGAGGAGGGGTCACTATGAGTTGGATACAATCTACAGCAGTGAGTTTTGTATTAACTATTTACTTTTTAATATCACACTGTAATTGACATTAGCCTTCTGTTATTATAAAAGTTTTATATGTACATTTTAAAAAGTGAGAAAACACAAACAACCAAAATACATAACACTAAGACACTGTATTTCCTCCACCCGGAAGATTACTATTCTTAACTCCTCATTGCATAGCTTCATATTCTCCCATATCTTTTTGTTTGCACACACATACACACACACACACATGCATATATATACACACACACACACACACACACACACAAAACCACCAAACTCACTTCCATCGAGTCAAATCTGACTCATAGCGACCCCTCCTTGGATTTCTGAGGCAGTATCACTATGAAATGTATGTATGTATATATACATACATATATTTCTTTTTGACAGAGATAATGTCATATGTGTTTCTCTGTAAACTTTTTTTTAATTAACAACCTCTGCCTTTGAATGACAATATACTTTCATCTTATCTAATACCTAGCCCATATTTAAATTTCCCAAGTATCCCCAAATTCCCTATAGAGGTAATTTGTCCAACCAGAATCTACAAGATCTGCAGGCCATGTGGTTCTTATGCCCTTTAAGTCTTTTTTAATCAAGCTACATTTTTTTTTTTTCAGTGACCTAACTTGTTAAAAACGATTTTTTTCATGATTTCCTACAGCTTTTTCTACCTTCTAGATTTGCCTGGTGATTCAATTTAGCTTTTTCTTGGTGCCTTTTATTTTCAGTAATGCAGAATTTGAATTTTAAGGTTTATGGGAGTAAAAAATAGTTTCTGATTAGAATACACTTGACAAATGACAGCAAAGTAAAATAACAAAAATATTACTGGTGAGTCAATTCCAACTCTTGACAACCCTCCATGTGCAAAGTAGAACTCTACTCCAGAGGGTTTTCAATGGTGGATTTTTCAGAAGTAGATCACCAGACCTTTCTTCCAAGGCACCTCTGGGTGAATTCTAACCACCAACTTCTGGTTAGTAGCCAAATGCATAATTAGACAAACCACCCAGTTCTAGAACAATATTTGACTTTGCTCTCAGCCCACTTCTTTATTTAACTAGAAATATATTTATTTACTTCAGAGTCCACCTCTGAGTAGAATCAAACTGCCAAATTTTCAGCATTAGCAGCTGAGTACACTAACATTTTGCAGTATACAGAGACTCCCGACATCTTACATATATTCCCAAATAGTGTGAATTGATTGGCTTTAAAAAATTTCTTACAAAAGAATAGTACTATGTTTAGCATTTGTTCCCAGCAACTGAACTGTTGGCCATGAAGTATTTCTAAGATTCATTTTTAATTTGACAATCATTCAAACCATTAGTTTTTAAGATAATTGAGGTTTTGCAAAGTTTTCCTCATTAAAATAGGAAAATATGTTAGAAAAAATAAAATAAAGAATTAAGGAAGAATGTGAAGATATTCTAGACAATTTTTTTAGAATGTACAATATGGTCAGGAAAACAAAAGTGAAGGTATGTGTTCTGGTTACCTTGTGCCATGCTGACAAGAAATATACCACAAATCGGATGGCCTTAAACAGGAGTTTATTCTTACAATTTGGAGGCTTTAAGTCCAAGTTCAAAGTGCCAGGCTCTAGAGGCTGGGTGAAAGCCCCTCCACCTTGGGGTCCAGCTCTGCCTCCTGCTCCTGGCCCACTGGAGCTAGAGGCTTTTCTTCACTTAGACAGCTGTTAGCTGCTGAGGCTGAGAAGCCAGGTTGACAAGTAAAAAGGCACAGTCCTGATGTTACCAAACCACATGGCAGGCCATTAACTTAAGTCCACTGTAAGTCCCGAGGTCAGCAGAGCATAGCAGGCTGCTGAACAACAACACAGCTATATGCAGGGTCCAAGCGTGCCATAGGCTAGAGACCATTCTTAAAGCTTCTCCTTATATACAGGAAGCAGACCACATCCCAAAGGCAGCTACTCAGCTGCTTGTGGTAGATCCCACCGTGGAGTTGATTGCCAGTCTCATCATGGGTAATAACTACTACCAGCTGCCCAGCCACTCAACCAGGCCCAGCCAAGTTGACA